AGGTCAAAGGTGAGGGTCTCAGGAGGGCCACTCCTTAGGGACCTTCCCGTGGATAGGCGAACAGGAGAAGCCACCTCTCGGGAGCTGGACTAGATGCAGCTGAGAGCTGAAAATCAAGGCAGGAGGCTGTGGGGGGTAAAGCCCAAGGTCAGGCTGCCTGAGTGGCTTTCCAAGTGGGAGGATGGCCCAGTGTGGGGGAAGGGCATGCAGCCTCCAACCTCTCCCACTCCCCCTCCTCCTCCCCAAGATCTAACCCACAGGATTCCTTCCAGCCTCAGCCACACACTGAAGAGCAACGGGAGGAGGCTGTGATGAGGAGACAGGTAAATGGCTGGACCCACTCCCCCTGCCACCTCTGCGGTGGCACAGAAGCAGAGAGGAGGCTGAGCGGGGGGCGGGGGGGAATGAGAAGGGAAGGCAGTGGTCAGCTCTGCATACAGATCTGCAGCCACAGGCAAGTAACTCGCATGTCCAGAAACACAAGGTAACCCTGCAGGGCCGGGCCATGCTGAGGCGGCCCAGAAGGGGGGCGATTCAGCAGACGATGGTCACAGGGTAGGAGTCTGGTCCTGGCTCTGAGCGGCCTTAGGCTAGGGCATTCTTTGGACCTGTTTCCTCATCAACGTGGGGACAACAATCCCTGACCTGCCTTCCTTCCCCTGCTGGTTCTGAGGCTCTGGATGAGTAAGGAAGTATCTAGAACATCAGTGGGCAGAGCTGAGACCTGGGCACTGGGCCCAAGGGAGGGGGGCCTGGAAAGGGCAGAGGGTGCTGCTCCCCACTGCCCACCCACCCCTCCCGGGTGTGTAGCTGAGCTCTGCCTCACCCAGGGGCTCATGAAGCATGTTCCCTGCCAGGTGCTGCTGGTCTGAGGGGTCAGGTCCCCCAGGCCGAGAATCAGACTCCACAGATACCCAAGACCCCCATCTCCATAGCGATGGCTGGTGGAACTTCCCCTGGTACCTACTGGCCTCTCTCCCTAGAGACTGAAGTCCAGAGCTCAGGAGAGGGCCTGGCAGGCCCTGGGCCAGGCTTCCAGGGCACAGGGGCCCGAGAGTTGTAGAGACTGCCATGACCTGCAGAGTTGTGCCCTGGGAGACAAGCACTCAAATAAAGGTGTGTGGTGTTATTGTGCGGGGGCCTCTGTGACAGCCAGCATCAGTGTGAAGGGGGAGGTGCTGTCACCATGGGGGGTATTGGAATGTGTCACCATGGGGAAGGTGCCAGCGAGAAGGATCTCAAGATGTCATGGAGAGTTTCTGGACAGGTGAATTCTCAGGACCTTGCTTTCTGATTTGGGGTTTGCTACCCCAAGTGCATAACTATAGGAGCAGACACACCTCTGTGGAACCCACCTTGCTCCAAACGCCTCCACACCCCCAGCTCCTCCCCTGCCCCGCACCACTGTTTCTCCTGTGCCGAGCCTGTCTTGTTGCTCTCCAGCAGGGGAGGGGGTGGGTCGTCAGCGGTGTGCTCTCCACAAAGGTTCACAGTCTTTTATTAATCACGTGGGCCTCCCTTGGGAGCCAGGGGACACCCCACCGGGGCCTGGAATCAAGGCTTGGAGTTGATATGCCCACTCAGAACCCTCCAGCTTGACCACCGTCTCCCCCATCCACCCCCATCCCTCCACACAAGGGCCCTAGGCCTGGCAGGGAATGGGTTGGTCCTTCCCCAGATCCCTAAAGATCTCCTCTGTCCAAAGCCCCTGAAAACTGAGCTAGATACCACGGGTACTTAAGTGCCAGCAAGACCTTCCCCCACACTCTCAGGAGGGCAGTCTCCTCTGGCCTGTTCCAGCCTGCCACCCCCCACCCCGGAGTGCCCACGGTCAGCACCAGGTCTGCGCGGGCCCTTCCTATCCCCTCGTCCATCCCCTCCTCAGGCAGACAGAATGCTCCCAAGAGTTGGCATGTCCAGAAGCAGCAGAGAGTGTCACTTAAGACAGTCCAGGCCTGACATTGGGCTGGTGGAGCTGGTGGCCCAGAGAGCAGGTAGTTACGCTCCAGGCTCCTCCTGGGGGTAGCCTGGGGCAAGGAGGGCTCAGTGCTGCCACCTGGTGGCTGTTTGAGGACAGCACCTACCACACCACATACACTTCGCAAGGCCGAGAGCCCCCACCTAGGGTCCAAGGGCTGGTGGCGAATAAAGAGAATGTTGGAAATGATGTCTGCACGCACTTTGTCCATCTCTCTTAAGTGCAATCCTGGGCCGCCTAGGACAAGGAGAACAGGCACCCTGGCACCCTGCATGGCCTGGGTCACTGAGTCCTCACAGGTGGAGACTGAGGCTCCTGGGTTCCTGCCCCTTGGCTGTTCTGTCCACCTTCTCCTATGGAACAGGAGAGAAAGACATCCCTTTTCTCTCCTCCCTCCATCTCGGAGGAGATCTCTCCTCTCCTTAAGCTGGATCCCAGGACTGCACCACCAACACCTAAGCAGATTCCCCTGCCTGGCTGCAGAAGCCTGAGCATCCTCTGCCCAGCCCCAGCAGCTCCTCTGTAGTCGCAGCCTCCCCAGGACCTGCCCAACCCTGAAGCACTGGGCTGCTCGTGGGATGGTCAGGTGGGTGGGGGCTCAAGACACTTTTCTCTCACCTCAGGGCACCCAGTTTCCTCCCCAACTCTGCCCTCCCGAACCCCCTGCAGGACCTAGAGGTGAGGTCAGTTAACTCCCTGAGGAGGTTCCCTGTTCCGCAGACCCCTCTCCAGAGCCTCCCGGTGCGCACAGCCCACGTCCCAGCTGGGGAAGGCTCGGGGAGACCCGTGGGATGGCAGGGAGGCGAGGACTGGCTGAGACCCTGCTGGACACTGCAGCAGAAGGCAGAGTCTAGTCATCAGGCCTCTCTTCAGGGAGGTCCTCGTCAGTGGGGGGAGTGGGCTGGCAGCGGAAATGGTCGTTCCAAATCTTAAGGAAGGTGACCCTGAACTTCTGGATGCGGAAGGCATAGACGATGGGGTTCATGGCCGAGTTGCCGTGCGTGAGGAAGATGGCGATGTAGATGAGGATGCTGGGCTTGTGGCAGGACGGGCAGAAGAGGGTGATGCAGTTCAGGATGTGCAGGGGCAGCCAGCTGAGGGCGAAGAGGAAGAGAATGAGGGCCAGCGACTTGGCGATCTTCAGCTCCTTGCCGTAGTACTTCTGCGGGTCGCCCGAGGAGGCCGACACCTTCTTGCTGAGCTGCTTGCGGATCAGGTAGAAGACCTCCAGGTAGATGAGAACCATGAGCAGCAGCGGGGGCAGCACCCACACGAAGAAGTTGAAGTAGACCATGTACTCCATGCTGATGACCTTCTCGAACTCGCACTTGATCACGGGCTCGCCCGCGCTGCCGTTGGCCGCCCAGGCCCGCTCCACCTCAGCCAGATTGTTCCAGCCGAACATAGGCGTCAGGCCCACCACCAAGGACAGAAGCCAGCAGCCCGCGATGGCCACTGCCGCCCTCCGGGGGGTCATCACCGTCTTGTACCTGAGGGCAGGAGGGCAGAGTGTGAGGGGCTGCCTCCCAGCTGCCAGGAAGGCCCCCTCCAAGGCCCACCCAGCCCCTGGGGGGCTCCAGGAGGAGGCCCCTTCCCCACCCAGGCCCAGTGAGCAGGGAGGTGCGTGTCTTCTGCTCGAGGACCGAGTCTTCAGGATCTAAGATTTAGGGCAGAGTTTGCAACGCCCTGGCCCATTTCTCCTGTAGAGGGAGGGAATCCTGAATAATGATTAAAATAATAACAGAAAATAATAAGGAATCTTATTCAGGAGTTTTAAGAAAAGGACCAAAGTAAAAATCACCCACATGTGCACAGCACCTCCCACTGCTTATCCCATCATCACTTCACAATGGCCCTTGAGGGGCAGGAAGGCACTGGCAAAAGGAGGACTGCCCATTTGACAGATGAGAAAACTGAGGTTCGGAGTAGTCACGTGGTCTTCCCAAGGCCACACAGAAGTGGCAGCACTGTCCTGTGCTGCTTAACACACATCTACCTACACTGACCAAAGCAGCCAGAAGATGAACAAACCACCCCTTCCTTTGGGCTGGCTGACACACTTTCGTAAAAAACCCTTCCCACACAGCCCCTTCTTTTGGCCCTGTCCCACACTTCCCTGCAGTGCCCTATCACCCACCCCCATCTATACCTCCCATTTTCCCTTCCAATCACCGTACAGTGCTTGTCTCCCAGGGGGTTGATCTCAAGAACCAGCTCTGCACCCCTCAGCTAATTGGGAATGATTCGCAGGAAAGAAAAACTGATGTGCACTGAACATCTACTACGTGCTAGATGCAAGCATGAGCGCGTTCATCCACCAGATAACTACCAAGTGCTTTGTGTGCCAGGCATGGCTGTCTGCCGAAAATAAGATAGGATCCCCTCCTCCATGTAGCTCACATTTTAGGGGAAGAAACAGATAACACAAAAGTAAGGAAGTAAATAAACAAGATGACGACAGATGGTGATACGTCCTTTAAAGGAAACAAAATAAGCAGGATAATGCCAAGGGATTTAGTTTTCCAACATTTTTCATGTCATGACACACACAGAGAAGATGAAAACATTTGGATTGATCATTGGCCAGAGGTGACAGAGGGTTTTAATATCTTGGGGGCTCCCCACTTCCCTTTAAACCAATCCAGGGTCAAGGGTTCAGATCCCTGTACTGGCCAGGCACCAAATAATAATAATAATAATAATAATGATAATAATAATAATGATAATAATGATAATAATAATAATGATAAACCAGTCCAGCCAGCAGCCATCATGTCCTCTGCCACATGCCGGCTTTGAAGCGAGCGGCAAGGGAGGGGCCCGCCCTTCCCATCGATCGAAGCCCACTTGCTCAGTGAAGGCTACAAGAATAGGAATGGGGACAATCTGGAGGGTGGGAGAAACTGGATGTCCCCTCCCCCCATCTAGAAGATGAGCACAAGAAGGGACCTTTGCAACCTCATTTCTGATCTCTTCATCATTCCAGTGGAGAAACTGAGGACCCCCAGATGACTCCAACACCTTCAGGGTGGT